GTTGCTGACATAGATAAAATTAGTATACAGAGTGGATCTCTTAGAAAGTCTTCCCGTAAGAAAAAACTTCTGGCCAGGCACGGTAGCTCACGCCTGTAATCCCAGCACTTTTGGAGGCAGAGGCGTGTGGATTACCTGAAGTCAGGAGTTTGAGACCAGTCTGGCCAACATGGTGAAACCCTCTCTCTACTAAAAATGCAAAAATTAGCTTGGTGTGGTGGCAGGCACCTGTAATCCCAGCTACTTGGGAGGCTGAGGCAGGAGAATCATTTGAACCCAGGAGGCAGAAGTTGCAGTGAGCTGAGGTCATGCTGTTGCACTCCAGCCTGAGCAACAAGAGCAAAACTCCACCTCAAAAAATAAAATAAAATAAAATAAAAATAAAAATAATTAAAAAAGAAGAAACTTCTATTTTAATGTATTTACCCCAAGGGGTACTGTTCAAATAAATGTTTAAGTGATATCTGGTTCCTACATGCAGTCTTAAGTTTATTTGCCCTCTGCTACACGTATTTCTTTTTGATTCTTCTAGTTATTGCTCATGCATGTTTTAGTTTTATCTTGCAAATATAATTTTTACATGAATAACCAAAGTGAGCTGTGTGGAAACCATGATGTATTGTAGCTCCTGAAGAGGCTTGTGTGATATAATCTTTGGAAATCCAATAAAAATATCTACCAACTAATGGTCCAAGTGGCATATTGAACTAAGGCTAGGAAAAAAGCTGAAATGGTGAGCCAGCTGATTCAAATCACTTGAGTGACATTACTGGTTAAAACCACCGCCAATGAAACCCTGGGAAGGCAGCCAGATAACCAGGATATTGTTTTTGTCACAACTCAGCATTAAAGACCAGGCAAGGAATTATGCATTATGTACCCAACATTTATGGAGCTCTGATAGAAATTATCATCCTTGAAGCGAGTAGGAAGGGTTCCCTACTGTTCCCAGGGACTCTGAGGGCTCATGGGTTCTGCCCTTCTATCACAAGGTTACGAGACACCACTTGCCAAGTGTCTTCCAACTCCTTTCCCCCAAGCTGTGATCCGCCTCCTAGTTTTCTTGCAGGTGATTTGACTTTCAGAGGTTTAAGATTTTGAGGTCAGAGTTGCTAAAGGAGATCAGGGACTCCAGCTTGGGCCTCTTGGGTAGAATCCCATCTCTGCCATTCACAGGTGACCTTCAGGACATTACTTAGTGGAGTACAAACTGAAACAAGGCTTAGCAAAATACATGCATTTTAAAACCAATAATCTACTGAAGAATATATAAAAGGAAACTAATCCTATATAGACACAACAAAAAGCAATGCTAGAAGGATATGCTGAATATTTCAGCTCCCACATCAGCAAGATTTGCCTTACCTTGGAAGCAACATAAAGTTAAGTCTGTCAGCCCTGTCCCTCTCTGCCTTGTATAGCTGTGTCCTTTCCTCTACCAGATGTTCCAGGTTTCGAGAATATAGCTGTAGACGTCGGATCAAGGTATCCATATAGCTTTCATTTTTTTGGTCATGAAAAAGTCTGCAGGTAGTAATAGATAAAGAGCTCTTATATATTATTAAGAAAACGTGAACATCCAATAAAACAATGGACAAATATGATGAACAGATAATTAAAGAAAAATAAAAGCCAACAAACACAACAAAAAAACTCAACCTCGTCCAGGCACAGTGGCTCACGCCTGTAATCCCAGAACTGTGGGAGTCCGAGGTGAGAGGATCACTTGAGGTCAGGAGTTTGAAACCAGCCTGACCAACATGGTGAAACCCTGTCTCTACTAGAAATACAAATATAAGCTGGGCATAGTGGCGCTACTCCAGAGGCTGAGGCAGAAGAATTACTTGAACCTGGGAGGTGGAGGTTGCAGTGAGTCGAGATCGTGCCAGCTACTCCAGAGACTGAGGCAGGAGAATTGCTTGAAGCTGGGAGGTGGAGGTTGCAGTGAGTCGAGATCATGCCACTGCACTCCAGCCTGGGTGACAGAGTGAGACTCTGTCTCAAACCAACAAACAAAAAACCCAACTTAACCTCAGGACAAAAATAAGATTAAAAAAGGGAAAACAAATGTAAAAATGATGGTAATCAGTGTAGAAGGAGGAAATACATACAGTACAAAACCTTCCTGAAGAGCAATTTGGTAAAAGTCTGTCACAAGCTTTAAGAATGCATATACCAATCAGCTTATAACTCTATTTCTGAGAATTATCCTAAGGAAACAATCATGAATGTGTTTAGAGTTAACAACAAAAAAAGTCACAGTATTCTTTACAAGAGCAAACATTTGAAAATAATCTAAATATATAACAAAAATGTAGTTAAAA